GTGGGGTCCATCTGGACGTGTCCGTTAGAATAATGAAGGACGGCGTTACTCGTCGTTGTCTTTTCATGGTCTCCGCGTTCTCCCCAACAGACTGCAGTTCGGATGAACGAAAGGATATCTTCTACCTGAAACTGTCTAACTTGCTGCAAAAAGCAAAACGTTCGGATATAGTTATTTTAGCAGGCGACTTGAATGCCGAATTTGGGGATTTGTGCCAGACTGGGAAGTATGTAGGTGGTACGTATGGAGTTCCCTGCCGACGACCCTACAACGGTGATCGTCTTCTATAGCTTTATTCAGATAATCATCTCTCCCTGGTCAGCACTAACTTTAGGCTCAAAGAGAGACACCGCGTAACCTGGCGACCTCAATCACCAAATCAACGCTGGACTCAGATAGACTACATAACGATAGGACATCGTTGGCGAGAGTCAGTAGAAGACTGTCACTCCTTCTGGAACACGTGCGTGTACTCTGATCACGCTCTGGTTCGCGCACGTTTATGCTTACGATTAAACGGACATAAAAAATTGTTGGCAGCGAAGCAGTTTCGTCCCCAACTAGACCGAGACTCTGAGTCCCTATTTAAGGAAAAACTAGCGAGACGAGTACCTTAGGTCGACTCCAAGACTCCTCCTGAGGTAGCCTGGCACAACATACAGTTAGCTGTAGACAGCTGTAAAAGCTGTTAATAACCTAACACTTAAAGTCAGTAAGAGCCATTGGATCTCTACTACCTCAGCCGAACTGATGGACGCAAGAAGACTGATTCTGACGAGCTCCGATTATGATGAGTAGCGAAGGCTACTCAAACGCAAACTAACAAGAAGTCTTCGTAACTACCGTGAACAGTGGGGAGTGACAAAAATGAAAGAGATGGAAAAGGCATCGGCTATTGGTAACACCAGACAACTATCTAGGCTTATCAGTGAAACAGATGGTAAAAGGCAAATGATGAGTGAAACAATCTCTGAGAAAAGTGGCATCATAATTAGCTCCCAGGATTGACGACTGGAACGTTGGAAAGAACACTTTGAGGAGCAACTTAATTGGCCTACAGCCACTCTCAACTTACCGAGCATCCAACACCTCCCTGAATCGGAAATAAACACCGGTCCTCTGTCCCTAGCCGAGGTTACTAAGACTGTTACTAACCCGAAACGAAGCAAAGCAGCGGGACCCAATGGAATGACTCCACAGGCTTCTAAGGACGGTGATGGCATACTGTTTTCTGGGCTAATTAAGGTATTAGGCAACGCATGTGAATCAGAGATAGTCCCGTTGAACTGGTGTAAGTCATTGATTATTCCGATATACAAGAAGGAAGATGATGCTACAGGACTGGACAACATCGAGCCCTAGTTGGCCTGAAGGTGGGGAATGAAGTCGGAGAGTGTGTTTACCACCACTTCACTTACTTGGGGAGTTGCATCAGCACCAGAGTGTTGACAGCTGAATAAATCTTAGCAGGTATACAGAAGGCTCGTTCGGCATTCGCCAAATTACACCATCTCTGGCGTAGATGTGATATCTGGCTGGGTGCCGACCAAAAAACGTGTCTACTGAACAGAAGTAGCAGTTCGCCCCATCATTCTTTATGGCTAGCTGTGAGCGAAACATGGCTATTGAAAGTGAAAGATATGTAAAGGCCGGCTAGCCGTCTCTGATCATAGGTTTCTCCATTCTATCTCCCTTGTTAGGTGGCAGGCTTAATAGCGTGAGTTATATTGAGGTTAGGCATTTGTCGAGTGTTCGGTAGGCGGGAGACGAAATCAATCGATCAGATTGGGAAGCAGCTGCATCGATTAAGATGGTTAGGACATGTGCTATGCATGCTAGCCTAGCCATCGCTTTGCTCAACAACCAATGTTAGCTGACACAGGATCGATGAGGATGGAGAAGAGCTAGTTCTGGTCAAACCAAAATACGGAATTAATCCATGAAATTGTTGACAGTTAGTTTGAGGAAGACCGAAGTCTACCAACCCTTGTCTCGACCAGGTCGTTTATGGGGAGGCGTGGTAATAGAATCAAAATCAATAAATCGACGAAATCTCCAACTGCTGCTTTGAGCCAGTCATGTAGAAAGGTGCTGACTGGCCACCTAGCTGGAGTCATCGGGACGGATAGATGACTGGAACGCTGGAAAGAACACTTTGAGGAGCAATTTAATTGGCCTGCAGCCAATCTCAACTTACCAAACATCCAACACCTCCCTGAATGGGATATAGGCACAGGTCCTCCGTCCCTAACTGAGGTTACTAAGGCTGTCACTAGTCTGAGACGAGGCAAAGCAGCAGGACCTGATGGGATAACTACAGAGGTGTTTATGGATGGCAGAGACAGTTTACTGTCTGAGTTAACTTGGGTATTAGACAATGTCTGACCGACTGACGGATTTCAACGTAGAACTTTGCACTGATGTGCAGCAGTTCTAATCGCCACACTCCATGTGGTACACAAAGCAAGGGAAGAAAGTGAACAAAATGCAAAACAGAGATATGAGGGAAAAAGAATAGTAATCTAGAAGAACAATGTAGTTATAATGGATATTATTAGTCACAAGAAGTGGATGCGTCTACATCACTGACAACGATCTTGAACCATATCACAAATTGTCTCCAGCCATTAGCTTTTACCGTCCCGAGGACCCCAACCAGACAGCAGTCTACGCCTTCTTACGTGACTGGTTTAAACTTACTGTTGTGGATTTCATTGACTGATGACACGATTCGGTTTGACCACCACTGTCTCCTTTCCAACCTGATTTATCCTATGCCAGCTAATATTTCCCGTCGAGGAACGCGATGTTTAGTATGAAAATCTGGAAAGGAGACAGTGGTGGTCAAACCGAATCGTGCCATCAGTCAATGAAATCCACAACAGTTAGTTTAAGCCAGTCACGTAAGAAGGCGTAGACTGCTGTCTGATTGGGGTATTCGGGATGGTAGACATCAATGCCTGGAGACAATTTGTGATATGGTTCAAAATCGTTGTCAGTGATGTAGACGCATCCACTTCTTGTGACTTATAATATCCATTATAACTACATTGTTCTTCTAGATTACTATTCTTTTTCCCTCATATCTCTGTTTTGCATTTTGTTCACTTTCTTCCCTTGCTTTGTGTACCACATGGAGTGTGGCGATTAGAACTGCTGCACATCGGTGCAAAGTTCTACGTTGAAACCAGTTAGTTACTCGTCATTGTGCTCATATTCCATAGTGAATTTAATGTTTGGGTGGACCTCACTAAGGCGGTCACATAATATGGATGCCTGACTCATGGTGATACAAACAACAAACGCATCATCGACATATCGGCGATAGCATGTTGTTTCACTGATTGCATCACTCAGTCGTGTCTTCAATTCTGACTGAGGCCGCTAAGTCAACTAAACCTGATATTTTCGGTTACAGTGCTTAGGGAATTTTATGTATTGTTAGTGTTCGTAGTGAATCGAGAGTCAATAACATCTAACAAGATTCTGTCAGACGATCGCTTAAATGGATTTAATGTCAATCAATATAAGAGAGAGCATTGGAGGCGGCATGAAACTACTTCAAGCGTTCAAATAACTTGTGGTAATCAAAATACACACAAGTCGTAATAACCTCGAATGCTACCTCCTTGTACACCTTCATTAGGTGACACAAAGCAGACATCATAAGATAATATGACCCTTACTACTTAATTACAAAAGATTAAAACCATTTTCCGGAAAAAAACTAAATTAACGAGGTCAATTGCTACTATTGAATTATCATATGTAAAGCGTATCAAGCTTTGCCTCCCGGTATAGGCTGAACAACTATTGTAACAACAGAAGACAAGGGCCAGGCAACAGATCATCTATATGTCAACTGTATCCGCCTACTCAAATTCTGCTGTGGTCGGTTTTTGAATCAGTCTTGTTCATATTTTCTCACGACCAATCTTGAGAACGTAAACATTGACGTAAATTACTGTCTACCAATTTGGCTAGTAGACAGCTCTCACCACACTATTACCTCTTATCAACACAGTCGACTAATCTTAGTACCTAGACGCTACATGTTTTGCAGTGGCTAGAAATGAAACCTAAGACAATAGTTTCGCCCTTTCTAAAATTTTTCGGTTCTCAACAAACGAGGTTCCCACTGCGACCAGTAGGCACACATATCATTCCAAACCTCAAAGTCTTCCTGTTGAAGCTACTGAACCACAAGAATTACCCTTTGGGCAGCTCATACGATTTGACGTTCTTCGTAATGCCTGTAATTAATCGTCAACCCTTCTGAAGTGAATTAGTTCACCAACTTTATAACAGTATGTGCTGCGTTGTCGGCGGTTCAGCAATAGGAGTTTTGCCAACCAAGCAAGTGGTCCGGCGTTCAATCCTTAACCGATGCACTTCCAAAACCTCGCTAAGTCGGTAGTGTAGACCAGTAAAGAGTGAAAGTTGGATATGAGGCTAGCAACCTCCCACCACGTAAACATAACACCATTGATATCGAAACTACACAGCTCAAGAAAACACTGAAACCCTATGTTCCACTTAGAATTTAAAGAAATAAACTACAGCATATAAACACCACTTAGACGAACAAGTACAACAAAAACATCAATTTCTAACTAGTATGATAGTGGCGGCTAAATAATAGGAGAGATAAAAACACTAATATCTTGCATACAGCAAGTAAACTAACTAATATAAATTCTAGATGACTAAACTACTGCACTTTTATACAAAGTTCTACGTTTTTCTTTTAAAAAATTCAGTCCAATTCAGGACAAATTCTTCCTGCTTATCTGTCAGTCCCCAACTCTATTTCAGTAGTTCATTGCCTATGTTGACTTTGTCCAACTGATATGTTATGGACTACAGTAACTGTCGACTTCAGGCTGTAAACATACACATAGCGACAACACAAATTATGTCAATAATAGTTTGAGAGGAAAAAAGTAATAACTCAATATAAAATTCCATTTTATTCAAAAAGGGTATTAAATTGCTTTCACTGTAAATCGAATTTTTCATTTTCCATTGTGTAATTTCCTCGCTGTTATTTATGTACACAATTACAGAAATTCAATCACTTTTAGATTCAAACACACACCTCCGGAACATGGCGCTTTACAGATGCCTTCAGATTCTTATCCATCAAAATTAATATCTTCAGAGGGTTGAGTATTGAGATCATGGTTGTGAATCAATGTCTCGTTTTTCTGTAAAATCACTCAATAAATAATTTCGAAAAAAACAGGGTTACCATTTGTTCAACAGTGTCAGCAGTTAAAGTCAGCTTAGCCAAAAAGACATTCAGTGAACTAGCCATCTCCATGATTTCTCTGAAGAAGAAGAAAAAAACACGATATATATACGTTAAATTTACTTCAACTAACCTGTGTGATGTAGATGAGGCTGGTAGATGCATTTTTTCTTGATCACGTAAATACTCGGAAAATCCATCCTGTCTGTCAACAATACTCAGACCTTTACTCAATAACTTTAACAACTGACATAAGTCGGGATCAACGGGTTTCATGAAATTTTGCTAAATAATCAGGCATAAAAAGAAATTAATTAAGAATGAACAAATTACATCTATAATCTTACGAATCTTTGGAAGTAAATCGCTCAAATCAGGAGATATCTCTTCATCATCTTCAGTGAGAGGAACAGTCGGCTGGAAAACACATCACAATCGGGAGTAAAACAAAAAAACAACAACAAAATAATGTTAAATTCAGTAGGTCTGTTCATTGTACACAAAGCATGAAACCACATCAATAAAGTTGTTGTTGTTGTTTTTGATGTTGAAATGCATCAACTGCTTAATGTCTATCTTTACAGATTTTAATATTCAGATTTTACTATGACCTATTTAGGTGGAACAAAATCGGCAAACATTACAAGGTGTCAAACTGCTGCATGAAAATGTAACACGATATAACAGTAGTACATCTACATTCAGGTATAGCATAATCTCATGTGAGTTATTTGATTTTATTTGATTTAATTGACACAATGTTCACTAGGTGATATTTCAAGCACAATTTATGGCTCATAATCATATCAAATTAATCAAACAACCTTCGAAATCGAAATTTACGGTTCTTTAGAGACTTAATCCCAACTGATAGCTGGTATCTTGACATAATGGTCGGGCCTGCATATCCCAATGAACCGACAAGCTACAACACTGGCAGGAAATAATGATTCTACAAGTCTCACCATTGCAAGAAGGCCGTTAGATCAATAGAAGTTACCACCTTAATGTAATTTCCTGACACTACGTTGGGAATCTGTGGGCGAGTTTGCACCGCTGCCAGATATGCATGTGATAGCAGTAAAGAGTTGATAAGTGTGTACGAAGTCTCGAAAGCAACACAGCTATGGTAATGTAGGCATAGATTTCAAACCACTGTATGTGATAGGGTTGGACGAAAATTCTACATTTCAAAATAATAATGCGGAGAGTGATAGAACACCGAATTTTTGTGTCTGAAATCAATACCGAATTCGTACGACCGGAATAAGATGTATCCATATAAGTGGAGGAACGAAGCATTAAGCGAATGAATTTCCACACAGAAACTTGCACAGAAGTGCAGCAGTTCAAGTTGTCACACTTTATGTGGTAAGCAGAGATAGAGGAGACAGAAAAGAAATCCAAAAAGCTAATAGGTAGAAATGTACGAGGGGATAGAATCTTGGGGAAACATAAAGGTTTAATCCGCATAGAAAGCCAAAAAGAATCAATGCATCTGCGTCAGTGAGAAGCATTCTGAGCTATATCACCGATAATCTGCAGTCACCGGTTCTTAGTATCCCGAAGACTTTGTCAAGCCATCCACAACTCCCTATGTGGTGCGAATTACATTGATAACAAGTTTTGCGTTGACTGTCGTTAACTCTTTGTCAATACAACCGTCACCTAAAATTGCTTGTCGAGGAAGACGACGCTTCGACATGCGCTGCACGTATCCCAGCCTTCTCAATCGACTTATCTTCACAACCTCATTGACTGATTCACCGTTCCTAACTAACACCACGCCTAACTTCAATATTACACTTATTATATATTATACTACTTAACACGGGAGATAGAGCGCAAACATCTCTGTTCAAAGACAGCTAGCCTTCTCATATCTTCCACTTTCCTCAGCCATATCCTACAGCAATAAAGCAGGATAAGGTGAATCGCTGTGCAGTGCACATGTCATTGTAATTTCCCATATCTAATAAACCCTTATGTTTCACCGTGCTACTGATCTTTCTCTGTCAATTTCCTGCTTACTATAGTCATTTCGAACTTTTTCTCTCTTCATTTATTCTGTCTTTGTGTGATTCATTGTGTGAAAGACGGACATCACGTCCACGCCAGAAATGACGTCAGCTGGCAAATTCAACACGAGCCTTTTATGAGTACTGATAGTTCGTGAACAGTGGGTCTGTTCGGGTTGATACAACTTCCCACATAATCGAAGTAGTCAACACCCTCTACGGCTACACGCTGCCTTTAAGCTAGGAGTAGGCGCAGTCTAGTCCCTGAGTATTATCTTCCACTAGACAGGAGCCACTCGCATGCCAAACATTCAAAGAATTTTGCCAAAGGTATCCGGAAGACTGCACTTTGTCAAAGTCTTCACCTAGGAGGACAACATCATCTAAGTCGACAGGATCATGTCCTTGTAACAAGTCAATCCCTGAGTCCTTGAGGTCAATTAGGGTGAGTTAACCCTAGTACATCTACGATGAAATTAAATAAGAATGCAGATAGTGGACATTCCCCAGGTTCTGAAATCTACTGAAGAGTGAACCTAACACTTAACATACTATATTAGCCAATCTAATTCCCCGGTGATTATCACAGGCAGACTAGTCTCCCTCCTTATAAACTAGGATATACAATCATTTGCATTAATCTGGCAGAACCGCTTCTGATTCTCAGACATTCCCAGACAGTTCGTCACCTTTCGAATCATTCGATCATATCCTGCTGCTCTGTTTCGCTTAAGATTGCAGATGACCCACGAAACCACAGTTGTAATTGGAGGACTGATGTCCGGTAACTTTCGCTTATGTCTGGAGCAGAAATCAGTTTTTTTTTAATCTATTGGTCTAGATGAAGTAACAGAAATCCCCTGGCATTTACTAACGTTTGGTTTCACCTTTACGTAAAGGTATAACAATGTTTCTATAGAAACAGCTGTATACAGCTAACTGATCAGTCAGGTGGCATAAGCTAACTGGATTGATGTTCAGACTTCTAAAATCATCAGTAACAAATTCGCTTTGAAGTAAGTGAAACGAAGAGTGAGTTATATACACAACCACACTTTATGCGTAATGCAAATGTACATTTCTACCACTCCAGGTAGCAGGTACTGACAGACTTACTTTGGTAATGCTCTCTGGTTCTCGAGAACTAGACCTTTCAGTAAAATCAGTTTCCGGAACTTCATCTAAGAAGTCGGACTCTTCCCTCAAGAATAGGTCGTCGTCCATCGCGGCAGACTCAGCTAAGGGTTCAAAGGGATCACTCATTGACTCATCCTGATCCATGTTTGACAGCGATAACCGAACGGGTGTGCCGCCCCAACAACCTTGAACGTTGACAAGGAGATTTTTCACGTTAGTTCAAGGTTTTATTTCCAATGTCCAATGGTGACTCTAAACTATAGCAGCCCAAAACGTAATACTCCAGAATTATTGCCCACAACATTCATCAATGAACATTGGATGCTGACCACCATCTCCGTGGGTGTGCAAATTTTGTACTTACCCGTTGGACGTCCTCATCCAAGAGGTCGTAGGACTCCTCATGTCCAAGAAACTAACATAAACCTCAGATGAGGGAAAAAAGCCATCATCTAGTACTGATGTCATAAGTGAGGATTCTGGCCTGAGTCATAAGACCGGGACAGAACCACATCCTCAAGCTTCGAAAGACGCAACAGAGGTAAAGTGTGCCCAGAAGTCTACAACAGCATACAGGAAGCCTCGAAAATCTAAGAGGGCAAATAGTGTCAACATTGTAGGACCGCTGGGTGACACTACAACGACGAAGCGCTGCTGGTGAACGCACGGCTTCCAACTGTGGCGAGAGCAAAGTGGAATTAACGCATTCCACTTGGTTAGTGCTGGAAAATACGAAGCTGAAGGGTTATAAGAGAGAGAAAAGCACTGTGCTTAGTGGTAAGGTCTCAACGACCGTAAACACTAATAGGATTGTTAAAACTTCGGACTCAAATTACAGTGACGTAATTTGAAACTTGGAGGAATCGAAGAAGGTAGATCCAGCTGCCCGACATGCTGATGATCTCGAGGTAGTTAGCTCCATCATCCGTGAAATCCTCCCGGAAAAAACAAATGGAGTTCACATAAGGAAAGTCATCGGAATCGGTAAACGAATCGCCGATGCAACGGAAAGTTCCCCACGACTGCTGAAGATAGTACTGGGGAACGAGATGGAGAAAACTATTATCCTCAACAACGCATTCAAAATCAAGGACATAAAGATGAGAATTGGGCCTGATTGGCCTCTGGAAGATAGAATTAAGAGAGGAGAAGCCGTAGCTGAACTACAGGCCCGAATGGATTAAGGTGAAAAATACCTCGAACTGTTGGGTTTACGGGTAGTGAGTGAACACGAAGGTCTCTCAGTATGTTATACCAACGCTTGCAGTCCTAGGAATAATAATTTTTTATCCTTCACGTTCCACAGTGGAGCATAGGGCTTCAAGCTAGTGGCTTGCAGTTCCTGTAGCAGTGTTTATTTTACAGGATGGGGTTGCTAGTCTCATGCCCAACCTTTCTTCTTCATCAGAATTATTTCTGGCTTAGCGAGGTAAAGGAGTGCGTCGGTGGCGGGAAATCGAACCCCGGATCATGTGTATGGTCGGCGAGCGTCCTAACCGCTATGCCACCGACGCAGGAATTATAGTAACAATTTATATTTCGTGTAAACGGGTAAGTTTACAAGAAATGCATGCCATTTTAACAGGCACGATCAGTAATGTTATAAATTACTATCCTGAAGTATCATAAACTAATACTTTTTCAAAAGTTTAAATTGTTCAATTATTGTACAAGCAATCAGAACAGGTTCTTATAAATGTTAAATTGTAAACCGTTTACTAAGGTCACCATCGAAGTTGAGCGACAACCCAAACTTCATTCTGTTTCCTGCTGATCGTTATGGTCAACCAGTGAACAGCGTATATCTGGGTAAGTGCTATGCCGCCACGTGACTGATCGCTATTTCAGGAAGAGGAGAAAATTCTGCGCAGCTGCAAAATGGCATAAAATGCGATTATGAATAATACATTAGTGGAAGTATATTTACAAGATAAATACAAGGAGAAGAAGCTATATGGTACTTGAAATGATAGTATACATTTGCAATGTTTAATGCTAACCATATTGGTCTAAGCATGGAAGCCATCACGTTTCCGATGAAAATATAGCTTTGTTCAAACATTGGTGTTCTTATGTTTTTAATCAAAGCAACCAGACTTTGGGCAAGCAACAAATGTGAAC